AAAGTAGATCAGAGACATATTTATAGTAATTATGCAGGCAAATTTGCCTGCAAATCTCTACCAATTAAGGGATAAGTATTTTATTAGATAATATAAATTTTTTTTAAAAAAAAATTTAGATAATACTAACCTAAAATATTCATATTCTAGAACATAGTAAGACTTATCAATAACGAATTATACACTGTGTATTTGAGATATATTTTTTAAGAATTTATGAAATTTTAGACTTTCACTAAACTTTTCAGGTATTATCTTCAAAATTTTAGTTATTCTTGCTACAACCTTACCAAATATTTTTTTTTGTTCTTCCAAGGGTTAATCTGAAGCGACATATATTTTAGTAGCAGGAATATCCATTTTTATTAGTTCATATTTAAATTAAGACTGATTATAAATTAGCAAATTAATTTTCATATAAAAGTTAGATACAAATGCTTTATAGTATTTATATCTAACTTTTATAAAATTTTCAAATTAATTACTTACTAACTGACATTCCATTATTGCTTTTAAGAGTGTAAAAACAATTGTTAGAGTCTTTGTTAATATACTTGTAGTAGAAAAAATGAGAGTTTTTTCAATTTCAATTGGCAAAATTGTTAAAGTATCCTGTTTTTTTAGAAATAATTCTATACTTTCTTGCTAAAATTCTCGATAACTATCAAATTTAAAAAAATTAATAATTATAGAATCAATTAGCTCTGTGGATATTATTGTTTGATTTTTGTCAATTTCATAGAACTTGAAATTTATAATATAAGAAGATAATTCGTGTTCATTATAGAAATAATATAAACAATATAATCCTTTTGAAGATTGCTTTGGAAAATATTTGCATCCTTCATAAAGAATAAATATATCAAAATTAGGTATTAAGTTTGCAAAAGAAGATCAAAATTCTTGATTTATTATATTATTTTTAATTTTAATTCTATAAAGTATTAAATTCTAAAAACTTAGACTAATTATTATTTTATTATACTATTTAATAGATTACTATAATTATACCTTTGAAAAATTAAACTTTTCTATTTGTTTTCATGTTTTTTTCAATTTTTTTAGCTCATAGAACATTTCTTTTATTAATTTCTGCAACATTGCATTTATGTTTGTATTCTCTTTGTTTTTAGATTTTTTCAATATTAATTTGATCTTCTTTAGAAAATTCTGAAAAATTTCCTGCTCATCTAACAACTTCTAGCATTTCTAAAAGGCTATTATTATTGTGCAAAACTGCAAGCTCATGCCAAGCAGAAAAGGATTTTGCAAAATTAACTTTTTTATCAGCATGGTTTAATTTTACATGGTTAAATGCTTTATTTATACTGGTTCGTATAGTCATTATTAAACTTTGTTTTGGTAGAAGTTTAGTATATTTTTTTTAAAAATTCTTTGAGAACATTTGCTTAACTTTCAGTATATCCAATTAAATTAGAATTTGCTAAAAAAAGTTCGAAATTTTGAACCTTCCAACAAATTTCAGCCCAGCAATTATTATGATTATCAAGAAGGTGGTCTACACATATTTCACTTTGCATTATATATAGATCATTATCAGTTGGTGATATAATATCAGGGTTTTGCATTTGTGCAGCAGCAGTATAAATGCTTTTGGTATAAAAATTCATTATTGGCTGCTCAAATCATTTCCATCTTTCTTGATTAACTAAGATTATGATAAGTTAATAATTTTTTTTTTTTATTTAGAATATGTTATACTTATAATTAATTTTATCTATTTTTTCTTAAGATTTTCAATTTATGCTTTAGATCTGCAAAAATTTTATGAACTATTTTTTCTTCACATAATGTTTTATTAGTATTCAAGTCACCATCATCACCAATATTCAATGTAATATTATATTCATAAAGAGTAAGTATAATTTTGCCAATAATTTTAATAAGATTTGCATGTTCTATTTGTCAGCTGCTATTATTGTAATTTCTCTCATTAGCCATTATTTTTTTTTTATTTTTATTATAAATGCAAGACTTTTTTACTATATTAAATATGATGATAGGTTTGTGTTGAAATTCTAATATAATTTAATTAATTTTTTATTTTTATTTTAAAATTTAATATTAATATTATTACCTTTTGGTGTTCTATTATATATGAATTCGGCACTTGCTTGAGAAGCTTCTCTAACTTTACTCCATAAACAATCAAATTCTACTTCCAAGATTTCATTTTTTTTTGTGATAACCTCTTCGCAAGCTACATGTAATGCATTATTTGCACTCTCTATTGCATCAGTTTTTATTTCATTAAACCATTTTTTTCGATTTTGAAAATATTGTAATTTTCTATTTTGACGTATTATTTTACACAAACACAGTATCATTAACTACTCTTTATGATTGACACTACTAGCTAATCTCGCAGCTACTACTAAGTTTAAAAATTTGATTCCATATTTTTCATTTTTATAAAAAGTTTTTGTTTAATATTGATAACAGGTAATTATAACTTTTACTGATAATCCTATAACTTTTATTTTATAGTCTTTTTTTTTTATATTATCATTTTGACAAGCAGGACATTTTTGATTTAATATATAGATAAGAAACAATTCGGTGCTTATAAAAAGACTTGAATCTAATCTTCTTTTAGAAATAAGAGATTGCATTAATTCTTGAAATTCTTGGTCTCTTGTTCTAGATTCTTGAATTTCATCATTGCTATTAGAGTCATTTTTATTATTTTTACTAAAAAATTAATTATGTAAATTTATTTTTTATTTAATAAACATATATATTTTAAATTATAATATATCTTGATGAATCAGATTCTTTTTCTAATAGCTCTTGTAAAGTTGAAACTTTTTTTTTGATCAGTATAATTTTTTACATATGTTTTGTAATTCAGAAGTAGTATTTTTTAATTTTTGTTCCAAATCGTGAATGATTTGTTGCATACTTTCCCAACTTTCATTTTTTAACTGAGTTGTCCTTTTTTTAAAACTTTGTTGATTATAATTATTAAAATTAGCAACTCGTTTTCCTAGATTTATTAAATGTATTATCTCTTTTTCTTCTTGATAAAATTGCTTTCATTATTAAAAATAGCTATGAAATAGCTTCGAATATACCCATATATCTATTGAACATTTTCAGTATTTGTAAAACTAAGTAATCATAGTAATGATAATTCGTTTTTATATTTTAAGGTATTTTTAATATAACATAAAAATAAGCTTTGGCTTTCAAATACTAATAATTATGATATATTAGTAAAAGATGAATCATTGAATTGAGTCCATTCATAAAAAATAGTTTGTTTAACAGAATTCTAGCCCAATTTTGCAAAACAATAAACTCCTTCCAAAAAAATAAAAATAAAGTAACCTGAAATTAAAGAAACTAAACTTTGTTCATTAATATTGATAGTAATTTTAGATACTTGTAATTTAATATAAACAGGATTTCAATCCTGGCATGCATCTTTGATAAGTTCAAGATTAGGTAAAATAGATAGTTGTGCAATATCCTGAACAAAGATAATTATGAGAAATTTTAACTCAAAAACTATTTTGCTTTATAAGTTGGTTTGCCCAATTTTTATTAAACAAACTCTAAAAACTATTTTATTATATAGTATATTAGTAATCTATAAATAGATTATCAATAATATTTCTTTATATGAAGAGCTTCTAGCAAATTTACAAAAAATTGCTATTATTATAGCTTTTAACTATATAACTATTTGTGAATAAGTAGTATAAATAATATTCTGTTAAATTTTTTTAAAAAAGTATATATTTTAGTAAAGTTTACTTGATATGTGTATTTTTAGTAATCTATTATAATCAGTGTTAGGCGGACTAGACCAATTTGACCATTTGACCAGACCAATTTGACCAATTTGACCAGTCTGGTCAAGGGATCTGTACTGGTCAAATTGGTCAAATAGAATATTTAAATATAATTTATTTATAATATATATATT